ATAAATAATATACTCATGTTTTACAAACGTTTAAAATTAAAATATATACTTTCCAAAAATATTATTTACAGTATTCTACGAGATGTGGATTGAACATATGTAAGCATCAATATTTATTTTAAGTATATTTTGTAATAAAAAGATATAGTTCATCAATGCAACAAGCCTAAGTATGTTAGTAGATTTGGGTATGATATTAAGTTACGGTAATAAACATGTATATAGTAATTAGAAGTGATGATTGAATTGTAATCTATATTAAGTGAATCTGAGTTTGACCATGACTAAAGTAAAGAAATTTAAATTTTAAATAACATGTACATAAAGGAAGTAATAAAAAATATAAATAAAAATGAAAATCAAATATGAGTGTTATACTAAAAATGTTGAGATATATTAGTGATTGGATGATGAGTTTCGATAAAAAATGTCATCTTTTTCAAATCAAATTAGACTCGAGAAGTTATTATAATATTAAAAATATATTAATAATTTTTTTTTAAAATGAGACATAATGTGATTGAACCATAGACCTCAAAGCAACATCTTAAACACATGTATCTTATTATAGTCTCATCCTTCTTACTCACCTAATAACCTACAATCATTTTTCTCCTCCTATCATCTATTAGCTTTTCACCATGTCTTCATGGAGGTAAGAAAACACTAGCTCTTAAGTAGGTTGTGATAAGAAAATTTTAATTCTTCTTTTCATATACATATTATTTCAGTTTTATAGAATATAGGTTAATCTTTTCAACACTTTTGAGTAACCTAGGCTTCAAATTAATTTTTAATTTTTTAATATATTTTATATAAATCTCTTATAGTTCTAAGGAATTTTATTTTCAAAGTCTGATAATGTCTGATAATGTCCAAACATGAGAGGTTCATAATCTCATATTTTTAAAGAAATTTTATTTGAGCTGAATTGACCCCTTTAGGGATATGATTAGGTTTTGTTCTTTTGATATGTTTTAAAATATTCTCTTATAGTTCTATAAGATTGAATATAACCTATGTGTACTAAGATATGAGGTTTATAAGTTTATATAGTCTCAATCTAATTTTAATAAAATAAAATAAGTGTTGATAGTTGAATTGAGAAAATAGTTTGGCCTTCAAATGATTTTGTTTTCGGTTCAAATTTGATGTGTATTATAGTTTTATATATCTCCTATTTTATACAAATTTTATGATAATGTAATATTATTTGGTCAATTAGAATAGTAAAGTGAAATTATGCGATGGCTTGATTGATACTAATTAGTTCATATGATTATAAAGTAAATTATTAAAAAATTATAGTAAAATTTAGATGAATTTTCAGGTTGATTATAGTATATTTTAGAAGAAATTTTATCATTTTTTTATAAATTATTGCTATGAATTTATAAATGAATAATTCAAAAGATCGAGTTTTTAATTAAGATATATCATATCCCTACGCTCCTAATTTGATAGGTGTGTCACTCTCTATCAGAGTCAATAATTAAAATACGTGACGTATAATTGGCATCTTCATATTTAAGTTAAATTAGGTAAGTATAAGATTAATTCATTGAAAAATAGTGATCAAATAAATTACTATATTCATAATATATTTTAAAAGATATATTTTGAATAATATAAATATTAGGGTTAAGGTTCATTTTAGCTTGTGATTTTGATCATGGATCACTTAAACCCTTATAGTTTACTTATGTCTAAAATAACTTATATATTTTTTAAAAAATAATATATAAGCTCATTCTATCAAATCTAAGTTAATAGACATTAGAGTCTACTTATATCGCATGTTGACTCATAATAAACTATTAATATAATGATACGTATAATTTAAGTTTTAAAAAAAGTGTCTATTTTAGTCCTTATAGTTTTGTTTATGTCTAAAATAACCCATATATTTTTAAAAAACGTAGCATATAAGCCCCTCCCGTCAAGTTTGAGTTGATAAACATTAGAGTCTCCTTATGTGATATGTTGACTCACAATAAATCATTAATATAATGATATGTGTAATTTAAGTTTTTTAAAAAAACTCTATCTTGTCGAGGAAGAGAAAGTACCGGAGGCCGTAGCAGAGGACGAAGGCGGAGAGGCAAAGATAGGAGAGGCTAGAGGCGGAGGTGAGGGAGAGTTAGACCACCACGTCATAGGCACGATGGGTGGGGGCATAGAAGAGGATGAAGTAGGAGATAATGGGGACAAAGACACTCAAGAGGAGGAAGAGGGATTAAGAGACCATTGCATGTTGTCGAACTGATCGATGCACATCCATCTGAGGTAGGACCGGAAGCTCCTGAGATTGTCATCAGCGCGGGAGAGGTTGCGTGCGTATGACACTCTACTAGGCAGTAGCGGCTCGGTGCTGTTACTGGTGGTCGCTTCTATGACGACGCTTCATTTCGCCATTGATGGTGGTCTCAATTTTTTTAATTTAAATTACATATATTATTATTATTATTATTATTTAAATTACATATGTTATTATATGGAAACATATTCTAACATCTATTAACAGACTTAACAAAAGGGGCTTATATGTTATGTTTTTGAAAATGTAGGAGTTATTTTAGACACGAGCAAAACCATAATAGCTTAAGTGGTCCATGATCAAAACCACATGGGCTAAAATAGATTTTTTTAAAAAAAAATCAATTATACGTATTATTATATTAATAATTTATTATGAGTCAACTTGTCACGTAAACAAACTCTAACATTTATTAACTCAGACTTGACAGGAACGACTTGTATGCTATGTTTTTGAAAATGTATAGGTTATTTTAGACATAAACAAAATCATAAGGGCTTAAATGATCAATGACTAAAACTACAAGGGTTAAACTGGATCTTAATCTTAAATATACACTAGACATAAGCCTTAATGTATATATTATATAAGCATAATAATATATAAATTATGATAAAAATATATTGTATGTACATTCGATGTAAGAGTGCACAGATATATTACGATATACAATGTAGACATATGGTACAATGTGTGGGGTGGTAATACACGTATGTATTATAACATATGATATGAGAATATACATATATATTATGACGTGTAACGTGGAAGTGCACATATATACTATAACATGTGATGTATGAATGCATATATATATATATATATATATATATATATATATATATATATATATATATATATATAATGATAACATACAATGTGAGACTGCATTATATGGGGTGTAGAAGTCTATGAATAATATATGATTCTTACATGTACATATAACTACTTTGAATTATTTTATTAATTTATTATGTATATACTGTGAGGTTATGCTTACTAATGAAATCATATGTTTATCATTAAATGTCTTATACCTATGATTTTAAAATGTTATATATAAAACATAATGCATATTCACCTAAATAAAACTATAAAGGTTTATACTTACTGAATGATTACTCACTATAAATATTATTTTATATTTAAATATATTAGTATCTCACCCAAATGATTGAGTAGAAAAATGAGCACGTGCGAGCCCATTTCAACATAGATACAAATGATTATCTATGAATATTTTTATGAGTATAAATTTTAGATATATTATATGTGTGTATTTTTTCTTATAGGTTATAATTATGCACGGATGTTAAAATCTTTTATGCATAAAGAAACCTTATTAAATATATTAATAAATTAATATATTTTATTTCTAAGATTATTTATTTATTTTACTATACTTCTATTAATATTAGTAATTAAACTGAAAAGTCACATCCTACCTTAGTGATAATATATGTAAGTTACATGTGAGAGTAGAAGTAAGGTGTTACATAAGCATACAAATTTATATTTCTAAAATAGAGCCCAATGAGATTATATAATAATTTATTGAGTCGATAATTATCATATATGTATTACTAATCTTGATAAGAAATCATAAACTAATCATATGTTTATGATTTGTAGGGAGGATGGTCTCTGCATGCGTCAAACCCACGTTGGCACTCTGTTGATTCCATGGCCTCTCAGTTGACCTGCTTCCCCTACGCTTTTATATACTCCGATGCTGCCCGGGCTTGGAGTTGATTCTCTTCTGGAAGAAGCAACGGAGGAACGAGAGAACAATGGGCAATGGCCGGTAGGCGTTTAGAACGTCGGCAAGTACCAAACTCAACCTTCCATTTGGCTCAACAGAGGCCGATCGCACGGCCAAAGCTCCAAAGCTGCCGCACTCTCTCTCCCGTCTTTCTTCGTCTTCGGCGTTGTCTTGTTGCCTTGTCTGATGTCGAAACGGCAGGTCGACCGCGAAGCACTCGCCTGCTGCGACGGGAGCGATCCGACGGTAGCCTACCGCACCGTGGACCTCCAGCTGGAGTCCATCGAGGCGCAGATCGGCCGCGGCGAGGGCGCCCTGACCAGAACATTCGCCCCCGTGCTTGAGCGCAAGGACTCCGCCAAGGCGCAGGCTCAGCAGCGGCTGCACGCCAACTCCATCCCCAACCCCAAGCTGCCGTCCTACTCGCAGCGCTTCTCCGGCTGCCTTCAGACCATCCTCCCTGGCATCGACCTCGGCCCCAAGTTCCAGCATCTCAGCGGCCGAGGCAGGCGCCGCATCAACAACGCTTCCATCTTTCCCAGGAAGCCATTCCGCACCAGCGGCAATGGCAGGCGGACCTTTTGTGGTGCCCGACGAAGAGCCCGGGTCACCCAAGGTTTCGTGCTTCGGGGAGGTCCTGGTCGAGGGGGACGGGATTCGGAGGCGGTCCCGCCGATCGTCCAGGGAGGAGGGCGGGGCGGAGCATGCAGGGTGCTGGCCGAGCTTACCAGCGGCGTTATGCTGCGGAAGCCGCGTCGGAGACGGGCCGTCCGTGACTGCCGCTACGGAGACGCAGCCGGCGGAAGTGCCGGGGACGCGGAGGGTGGCGGCGGAGCCGGCGAAGGAGCCGCCAAAACTGGGGGAGATGTCGCGGTTGGCGTCGGGCCGCCGGCCGACGACGTGGCTTGGAGACCTGGACTCGAATCATGTGGTATTGATTGTACTCGAATAAAATGATATAACGAAGCTTCCCAAGTTCTCATGATAACACGGACAACACACTTTGATCCAGTCCGAACGATACGGTGCAGATTTAGAATTCATGGCTTGCAACCAAGCAGTCACTGTCAACATTCATTCCATGTTTGTGGAGATCAATCGACATGAAATTAGGATTATGCACATTTCGGTCATAGCTTCAGCTAAATTACAGATTTCAAAGCGTTGTTCATCGTTGAACAACTAAAAACCCTTTGGTAGCAACTAAAATAAGTTCACCAAGAAAAATGGAAGGGAAGAGAACAACGGTTGATGAACTACAGTCTCCCTCTTCTTCCGCCCTTTCTGCTGGTGCTGCTGTCTGTAGGGATGGGAGTTACATCCTCTGCGATGCCACATAGAAACACAAAGTTAATCCAGTTTGGATGTGAACGGGACATGTAATGTTCATTAAAATTATTCTGTACAAGATACAAAATTCTGTACAAAAAGGAAAAAAAGGGTTCTACAAAGACCTTATGTTATGCTAGCTCGGAAAGGTGTAAATGTCAAAACCTTATTCTTTCGAGTAATCAGTAGAAAACACGAGTAATCAGTAGAAAACACTTCTTGCTGGATGCAAAAGCCAAAGCAGAAAGTATATGATCCAAAATGACCCGATAATGAAACTACTACAACAATATAGCTCTTAATGTCCCAACTACGGAAGTCACATAATATAGAGCATGTTTCCGAGATTACGTTGGAAATTAACAACTTTGATCAGACCAGCGACCAAAAATATATATATATCTAGAACTACAATCTTGCTGTCAGTCTCAAATAGGCATGAACCATCACCTCAACTGTAAAATAATGTTCAAGACACGGTAATCGTACTACGACATAGAACAACAAATCAGAAGAGCAAAAAATATGACATTTTTATAGGGAATACAAACTGATAACAACAACTTGACAATGCAGAACAGGAACCTAATACTGATGCCAAAAAAAGCAAGCTGGCATTAGTAGGCTGTATATTCTGACAGGTGGAAAGCTAGAAGGTGGGTAACAAAACACAAGTGACCATAACACATCACAAGCTTTTAATGGTCAGTCATACAGTTATAGCATAGGATCTTACCAATGGATTGCATCACTAACATAACTGGAAAAATACAAATTGACAAGTTAAAGTTGGCATAACTATACCAATTGATTAATGTGTTTTGGAAAATAACAAACATGTTAAGCATAAAAAAACCATCAACAACCCAGATAACATACCAATTGTCTCACACAACACAAAGAAAAAAGCAATAGTGAAAACATAGGATCTTACCAATGCGGCCAATTTTCATGCCAAAGCGAGCAAGGGCCCTAAGAGCAGATTGAGCACCAGGACCAGGTGTCTTTGTCTTATTCCCACCAGTAGCTCGCAGCTTAATATGTAAAGCAGTGATCCCAAGTTCCTACAGGAAAAATGGAGAATGAACACCATTTCAACGAGTCAATGGAAGTATCAAGAATGTACACTACAAAATGGCAGACCTTGCATCTCTGTGCAACATCTTGTGCTGCAAGCATGGCTGCATATGGAGATGATTCATCCCTGTCAGCTTTGACCTTCATAACACCTGCAAATGACAAAACATTCACATTACAACACACTTGCAATAAAAAAATAACACAATCAGAGAAGAGGATAGAGACAGCCAGAGAAAACAGGTGTCCTGTACGTGATGTGCATGCCTTATGCAAACAAGATTGATACACAGTGAGACATCCTAAGATTGACCAAGACACCAATTACATATTATGTGTGTTATGTCATGGACGTATGTTATTAAAATTACCCAACACATTCTACGCATTGTTATTCATTTAAAGATTTTTTTTAACCCTATATACTTGCATCAAGAGAGAATGGAAAAGGTAGTTTTAACTTTTGACAAATTTAGTACAGTGAAATTTAATGATTCTTCACTGTCACCGGAGAAAGGTCTTTTCTTTGTCCCTGGTTCCTTTGTGAAGCAGATGTTATTTGCATGTATTTATTACAGCACTTAATGTTGCCTTCCAGGAACTCAAATTCAATCACCAAGATGACCCTATATCATTGAAAATGCCAAATAATGGTAGAATTTTATATAAAAAATCATTTATTGATAACTTACTCTACACGACCACTTGATCTATCAAATCACCATAAAATTGAACATTTTAAAGTAACAGCATAAACTAGCTTTTAATAACATACACATATCTTATTTAAATTACTAAAAAAAGATTCTATTTGAATCTAAATGTCTTCCTATTCCACAAAATAGGCACTTCACAAGAGCATGGCAAGAGAAATCCACTGTGACAACAGATGAGCCATGGAAAAGAAGTGCAGCTAACTCCATCGTTCACATTTGAGGAATATAAAATGCCAAAATAGACAGCCCAAGATTAAATGGAATAAGGAAAGGTTTCACAGAAGAACTCTTTGATACCATGCCATTCATATTGTGTGACTATGGCTCAAAATGCTTCCATAAGGTATGAGGAAGGTGATCTTAAGGGCCACGCTTTGAAAACCAAGCACAAACATCAATTACATAAACACGTGCATGCATAAAAATTTTATATTATATTATATTATATATATATATATCTTGAATAAATGCAATACATATTTACTATTTACACATCAGCTGACATTCATGACTGCTTAATTATCACCTTTTTTTTTCACTTCATACTATACTTTCACAACTATTTAGTCTACTAATTACCATCTTACACTGTAACCAACACAACTTTCTTATTACTATCAGCAAGATATTCAAGGCCGAACACCGTAAACATGATTCAACAAGCCATTAACATTAAATGTCATGGATGACCATGTTACACTTCTTTTTCACTTCATGGACATTTCTGATGATCATGCTTGATTATCACTTCTTTTTCACTTCATACTATACTTTCACAACTATTTAGTGAAAGTCAATTATTCTTCAATGTCACTGGAAAAGACAGTTCTTCCACCAAGCTACACAATTTCTAACCTTTCTTAACTGTCAGTCCCTGGTTCCGCTGTGAAGCAGAGGTTCTTAGCTTGCTTGCATGCATACATATATATATTTATCACAGAGCTTAATGTTGTCTTCTAGGAACTCAAACCCAATCACCTAGCGGATCCTTCCAAATTATTTAAAACTACCAAATAAAGGAAGACTTTTGTTAGAAACAAAATTCATTTACTATTAACTTACTACACAGCAACCTGGTCTATCAAATCATCATAAAATCAAACATTTTAAGCCAACATCATAAACTAGCTTTTGATAACATACACGTCTCTTTTCTATATTACTAAAAAAGGTTTTGTTTGAATATAAATGTATTCCTATGCCACGAAATAGGCACTTCACAAGAGCACTGGCAAGAGAAATCCACTGAATGACAACAGATGAGCCACAGAAAAGAAGTGCAGCTCGCTCTAGTGTTCACATTTAAGGAATATCAAATGCCACAAAACAGAGCCCAAAATCAAACGGAAAACGTAAAAGTTTCACAGAAGAACTCTTTGAAACCAAGCTATTCATATTGTGTGACTATGACTTGAAATACTTCCATAAGTTGGGAGGAAGGCGATCTTAAGGGCGACACTTTGAAAACCAAGCACATACATCAAATTACACAAACATGTGCATGCATGAAAATAATTCACATAACCCCTTGATTGAACTTTCGAAAGCTGACACTATTTAGATAAATGTAATATATTTACTATTTACACATGAGAAGACTTTATCACTGCTTAATTATCACTTCTTATTCACTTTATACTATACTTTCACTATTTAGTCTACTATTTTCCATCTTACACTGTAACCAACTCAACTTTCTTGTTACTATAAAAAAAAAAGATATTCAAGGGCAGCATAGACCACTATAAGCCTAATTCAACAAGCCATTAACATTAAATATCATGGATGACCATGTTGCTGACTTGCACAAGAATAAACTGACTAATCTAGTGAAGTAGGTAAATATGTTTCATCCTATCTCATCCAAGGTAAAACATTGTAGAAAGCTAGACATAACCTATAATACGAACGAGTGTTTCCCTCCCCGATAAATGTGCTGCAGATTTAAAAAAAAAAAGAGAGAATGTTAATAATGCAAAGATGAATAACATTCATTGTATACAGAAGAAAAAAAAAGGCATTGTGACCCACAATGAAAGTGTCATTGAATGATGCAAAGATATGAGCAACCCCGAATACTTGCTCTCCTTCCCTCACAGCTGGCCCAAGCGTCACATTTTCCTCCTTCGGCTCCCTAGTCTTCCTTCTTCCAGACTGCACATCCATATCCAATCGATAAGGAATAGAATTAATGCCAAATTATACTTAAATTAGATTCGAGCAAAGCAGAACATATGGATTCATCTAAGATATAGACCTCCAAATGCCATTATAAGCACATAACTAGACAACACGAATGGAAACAAATAACGATCCATAATCCATCCAAGGACGAAAATAACAAACAAAACTGAGAAGATGTAGAACCCCACTATGGATATCCAAGCATATCAGAGGCTGAGACACGTAAAAGTTGTTACTTGGAAGATTGAGATCAAGCGCACTGTGGATACACAAAGCGGCGGAGAGGCCACAGAAGAAGCGGAACAATTGAATACACGCGATGAGACGATTCGGATCGCTCACCATGGTCACGGCGGGAGGCAGGAAGACGACGCCGACAAATCCAGCGTTTCCCCCGCGGGAGCAAGGGCCAAACCCTAATCCCCGACCCCTTCTATCCGGCTCACCCTTCTTTGTTGCATGTAAGGTGCTTCAAATGACCATGATACCCCTCCGGAACATGCGGCCCATACGTCATATCACGTTGTCACTACTGAAGCTGGGCTATAGTAAATGAGCCCGTTCCGGTGCTTAAATGACTATAATACCCTCTCCTGTGATCCGCATTATGTGATGTTAAACCCCTTCTAATCCATAATTTACAAGGCTAATAGGTCATTAGAGTTGCTTTGCGACGTTAGGACTCTTAAAGATTTGCATTAAAGACTGTAGACGGCCTTTGGACATTTAATATTCCCATAATATAATCGACAACCCTTTCACATTCATATCCAACGCATGATGGTGATGTTTTACGAATTAAATGGCACAAATGAGAGAAAGAATTCCCACCAATTGTTTTTTGGTTTAATCTTGCATTGTTGGAGTGCACAGATCAGGTGGCATGTTTCCATCAATATCATCTCATGTTGAAGTGGTTGATGTAATGCTAAATAAATTATCATTTATCCATGCAATTTATGAATAATCTATTATTTCGAAAGTGACACAATTGGATAATATGAGTGTCATTTTATTGGTTCCCATTGCGACACGAATCCGCCCACTGCATGTAAAGGCCATGCACGGGGATGCGTCCCGCACGTCCTCTTCTCCTGCACACAGCACAACCGTTGATTCATGATCCGACGGCGGCGAGGCTGGTGACAAACGATCTGAGCCGTGTGCGCTCCTCGGACTCACACCTCCCGGGTGACGTAAGGTTAGCTCGCTGTTGTATCCGTCTGCTCACAGCGTACATGAAAACATATGTACGTGGCTCCGAATATGCAGAGAAAAATTGTGGGCCCAAGCCTTGATCGATTGAGATTAGCACACGTTATGCATCGGAGAAGAACGCTGTTCGGGAACAGACAGATGAGACGGGCTTCCTCGGTTCCAGGGCCAGCGAGAAGGCACCGTGCACGTGAGATTCTATGCGAACAAGATCGTCGCCGTTGGTGACCACGAACGGGAGAAAGGGAAGGCATATGATGTAACCGCGTATTGGTTGATATGCGGACGTTGTGATAGAAGGCGTACGTGGAGGGCCCCGCGTCCGACGCCTCTGCTTCCGCAACACGTCGGATGATCCCCTCACATCCGGCATTTAATCCCCGTCTCGGTCCCCCCTCCGGTCCCTATTCCAGTCTCGGTTCACGTCTCCTCCGCCCGTCCTTTCTTATGATGGTGGTGGAGCGCAACAGGAGCGCCACCGACGGAAGCCAGAGACGCCGCCGCTGACGCCGGAGGGCGAGGGTGATGGAGACATTCCGCTCCCAGCGATCCCTCCTCGCCGACCGCTTCCTCGGCCTCTTCGCCGCACCTCCCCGGTCCTCCGCCCCGGCCGGGGACGAGCTCCATGAGGACGACGTCTTCTGGATTGGCTCCGAGGCCTCCCCCTGCGACCCGATCCGCGACGGCTCCACCAGACCCGTCCCTCCCGCCGTCGTGGGGACCCGGAAACCTAGCCGTTCCCTCTCCGCCCTCCCCGGCGCCGGACCATGCCACATCTCCCTCCTGAGCTCCGGCATCCTCGCCGCCCTCTCGGAGGACGACGAGAAGCTGCATCCGTTTGTCCACCGGAAGGCCGCCGTCGCTCCGTCCCCGCCCTCGGCTGAAGCGTCCCCTGTAACCTCCGCCCGGATGATCCCGGTGACCTCCAAGAAGAATTTGAATTGCTCGTTGTCGATGCCCGCCGGGAAGATCTACCAGCAGTCAGCGCCGGTCAACGTGCCTGCGGTGCCGCCGAAGGTGAAGAAAGGCTGGGAAGAGTTCCAGATAGAGGGAGTGGACGGAGACGGGGACGAGTACGAGATGCTTCCGCCGCACGAGATCGTGGCGAGGGCTTCTGGGAATGGACCGTCGATGATCCCATTCTCGGTGTTGGAGGGAGTCGGGAGGACGCTCAAGGGGAGGGATCTGCGCCGGGTTCGCAATGCTGTGCTGCAAAAGACAGGTTTTCTTGATTGAGTTCCGAGAAAAAAGGTTTCTTGCACGCTCTAAAAAATTTTGACTCTTTTAGTTATGGAAATGAGGAGTACGTGATGTTCTGGGGAGAAATTGGCGAGCTTTCGATGATTTAGCGTAATAAACGAGAATGCTTGGCCTCTACCTCCGTTTTCGTTAGGCCTCGATCTCCATTTTGTTCATCAAATCTCATAAATGATAAATGCTTGGCCCCCTTCCTCTATTGTTATAATTCACCCTCGTTCTTTGCATTATTTCTTCCATCCTTTAAATTGTTATAGGCCATTTGGAATTAATATGCAGAATGGTATAAAAAGAGTTCAAATTTCTTGAAATTTTAGGGTAGAGAGAGAGAGAGAGAGAGAACAACTTTCCTGTTGGTGATTTAGATCCTGAGGAAGAGCCATCATGGTTAGATCGGAGAGTGCTTTCTTGTGCTTGCTTTAGTTATTCAAATACAACATATTCCTGTTTATTGTTTCTGAATTATCTATCAACATAATCTACCCTTGATGTAAAAGTGAAAAATGTATGATCATGGTTTTGCTCAATGCTAGAGGAGACTGAAGAAGCTTACATTTTTGTTCTAATAAGAGGTTACTTACCTTTGATAACCAATGTTAGAACATGAAAATTCTTCTAACTAGGGGTTCATTGCCTTTGAAATGTTTAGGTAATGGCCTCTCTGTTACATATAGTCGTGTTGTGGTGGCATGTGGTTGGACATAGGTTTTTTGGAGGATAGAGAGAAAAGTGTTTTCTTTTGTCAGTGAAAGTTTGGTTTTTTACTTGTTTTTTTTAATGCTTTTCTATAACTCGTCATTCCTGTCGCAATCTTTTCATTCAAATTGGTTACAATTCAGCTACTTTTGTATTAATCTTAAACAACTGTTTCCATTAGAACCTTAAAAAGTATTGTGTATGTAACTTTACTTTTCAATGTGGTCTAGAAACCAATTATATTTATGCCAACTTAGTACTCTAGTCATAAATGTCTACTGTAAAATTTTCTTCCCAGCTAAGATACCTTTTTGCAAATATCTTCATGAATTAGAATTATCTGTTGCCTGTTGAATATCAAAAATATCAAATGCCCAATCTATAATACGAAAGAATGAAAATGAGGCCAGGTTTCCATTTGACATCTCAAATAAGGATCGCTGGCTTGGAGAGCTTGAAATGCAAAGATATTTCGGTCATCTATTTGTTACTGAACCATGATAACCATCGGATGGCTTGATAGTTGATAAAACAAATATTTATATCTTCTCATATTGTAAATGCCTTCCTGGACTGTAATGTCTTCTTCTAATTGAAGATGCCAACAAATATATTATGCAACGAGTTGGATGCTTCAGAGCAGGATAAATCGCAATATCTTGGCCCCACTCTCTGGAGCTTCTTTTCATTTTTACGTTGAACTAAAGTCATAATTTTTATCATTGATAATTTTTGTTGTGATTGATGAAATTATCCTTATACACACAAAAATGTACATCTGCATGGATTTTGGTGTTCTAGAGTAGACCGGATAGCCATATTCTTACCTGACCTTTTGACTGCAGCAATTTCTTCAACTACTTGCAGGTTAGTCATTAAGTGTCTACAATCTATATAGTATTAAGATAACCAGTGTAGGCATTAAATATATTGTTTGTAGCTGCTCATGCACACACATGATGTTCATATGTTTAAATAACTAAAAGCAGTCAACAATGCTCAGAATAGGTTAAATTGTTTAGCTGAAGTACCATACCAAAAGCTTGACAGTGTTATATGGTTTTCTGATGGCTACTGTTCAATTTGGATCAAAATTTTGAATACTTGGATATCACAAATACTCTCCTTTTCAAGCACTAACTTTCTTTGGGTTTTTTTTTTGACATGAAGACGACCGCATGAGCAAAGATATCAGTGTAAGTCTTAAGTTTTTTCTTCATTTATCAGATCAAGAAAAAAAAGACATTTACCTTGGTAACTTTTGGCTCCAAGAGTACAAGAGCCATGATAAATATGCAAGTAAATGTTTATGTATCTTTGAAGACCTCAAGTAAGTTGCCAACTACTCTTCATTTGTTATCACAGATGATCCAGAATGCTTCAGCATGTGATTTTCTATTATCTGACATGCAAAACTGGGTCTCTTTAAGAAGTCATATCATCTGTACCTTCATAGCCATGTTTCTACTGGTGGTCTCATGGATCAAGAAGTATCAAGGTCTCTAGTCTGAGCTTTAATTTTTTACCTCTTTTTGTTTTTTGCTGGAGTTCTATCAATGATATTGCATTCATTGGAAACAATAGAACCATTTCCTTTTATTGTTTAAGTAGTTGGGACTTTACAACTTCATTTTATTTTTTATTGTTCCATAAATTGTACCCTTCAGTTGGCATGTGTTTTCAAGTTATTCAAGTGTGTGTATCTCCATGTTCTGCTTTTGGTGATGGATGTCACATCTAGTCTTTTATTTTGCATGTGTTGTAGATGCAAGATAGTTAAACAAGAGGTGCTTCTGAGACTATTGTTATTGCTGTAACCTAACAAGCCTTGTCCCATATACATGTCTTCTATCTGTTGTCATGAAACTCCTTCATGCTTGTGACATAAAATGCATGTATTTGTTTAAAATGTGATAACAAACCAATCATACATAAGATTCTTCTTCACTTCTTGACAACAAGCTCATGTAAAGTCCTGACTTGCTCAATCTCAGGTTAATTCATGGTTCATTAACAGCTTTATTATGTTATTTACTGGTGTCATATTAACCCTATTTGCTTAATATCACAGATGAGCTTTTGGGTAACTGCCCTGCTAATAATTTTGTGACTGCTGTAAAGCTATCTTTAGCATTATCTTCAGCATATAATAACTGCTATGGTTGTTCTGTCAATTGTAATTGTTGATGGATCTGTGGCTGCAGCTGGAGGTTTCATGATGGGGTCTATTTATGTTTCTATGGCAGATAAAACATGATCATATGTGCAGTCAGTATCCTCAGATGGAACAACATTAAGGCATTAGAGGATGAAATACTTGGGAAATTTGGACCATGTCCTACTGGACAAAACTTGATTAGTCTGAATCATCATGTGTTGACCAAAAGCTACTATCATTTGATGGACAATGCCAAATGTAAATTTATGGCATCCTTATCCTTTCATGTATCAAAGAATGGTTTGCGGGTTCATCACAAGAGATGCCTAGGTCAAAATATACTCAATCTATTTCAAACCTAAAACATGTTCCATGAACAATGAATAGAGCAGTGGGATGGAACACTGCTGTTCATTGGGAGGATCTTAGATGGATGATGAACCTATAACACAAGCACACCACCAGACTACAAACCATAAGTATCATCACTTGCCATTTTCTCTGCTGAAACATGCATAAAACTTGTAGCTTAGTTGATGCAATCACCATGATAATTTGATGATGAAGTTTTGAACAGGCTCTCTGGCTGCTAAAAATTGGGTACATTGTCGACCTGAGTCACTGATACATGGAACATGGTTCTAGTGTTTTTCTGTCATTGGACTCAAGTACAGATTTAGAAGTCTTCATCAAGACTAACACGATGGAAACAAAGAACAGTGCAAACAAGGATGAAGAAAGATGTGAATTCTATTAACATGGCTCCTGTCTCAATTAGGTGGGCATGCCTCAGGATTGCTGGAATTGCGATGCTCCCCACAGCTGATGCCCCAGTCAAGAACTTAGCAGCATTAATCCAGCTGCAGAAGAAGAGAGGCAATGTCAAGATAACCCAACATGAAAAGAAATGAAATGAAAAAAAAAAATGGAGATATCTCACTAATACAACCAGTAAAGTTTGTGAATTATATGAACAGTTCAGAGTTTGAAAGTCTGCTGATATTGTAGTTGCTAGTTAAACTGTAACTGGATGGAACATGGAAACATTGGAAATTGACAAAAGCCATGCGCAAATTTGCAAGTGCTTACTACAAACCCTGTGGTCTTCTTTGATTAGTCATGGTCACTGGCTTAGCTTATATCATGTAATTCTAAAGACTCAATCTATACTGAAACAATTGCTTTCCATAAAGAAAAATGCAGCTAAAATTCGGGTTGAAGTGGTGCCACAACTAGATAGGATTGAGGTGCTAAAAATGGTAAAACCAAATTTCTAATAAGTTGACCTAACCAAGACTCCTGTGATTTTATGAATGGACTTATTAGGAGAGAAGCCTGATGTGCCAAAGTGAAATTGACCCTGGAGTGGGCTAAGTATCCCGTCCCCCTTCTTTCCAAATACATGAGCCAAAGTGAGAGAGCAAGAAAAAAGATATCATCGTGCTATCCAGATTGATGAGCTCAATTGCTTGATCAAGATAAAAGAAATGCAAGCTTTTTATAGCTCAGAAATTCCGAAAATAATGTTGAAACGATGAGATCAAAGTAAACTAACCCCCCTCCTTCCCTGCTAGTCAGGAAACGTGTTGAACCATCTCCAAAGAACAGACATGGCATCGGCAATACCACATACATGAGTGCTGCAAATCAACCAATAACATTTTATCAACACAACCATCCAAACAACCAAACCAAGCAATGTGTTTATCTTTCACCTGATAACATAGGCCACCAATTGTTGTATAAAGCGCATGCCTGCAACATAAAAAACATCCACAGAAACATTGGTTTTAGAAAACTAAACCAGAATATGCCGCAGCAGAGATGGTCAAGTAATCAACAAAGCCTGTAACAGATAAACAATCAATTGGCTACAGATTGGCTCATATAATCAAATTTCGAAGATAAACGAATCTAAGCTTTCTTGGGCATTCTCAGAATATTAAAATGAGCGGGGCCTGCAAAGTAATTTTAATGTTATTTAAGGAAATTAACTAATATCTCTATCAAAAGGGTTAGACTGCTACAGACTCTATCATAACAAATTAGTCTGGAATAAAGTTTAATACTTCAAGAAAAAAAAAGAAACACAGAACAGATTGAAGTTTTCAATGCTAAGTGAAAGTTAACCACATAGAAGTCAAGCAATTGAAATTTCAGAAATCAACAGGCCATGTTGCTCAAAATTTAAACATAGTTGGAGAAGGAAACTATACCAGAATTTGCAATAAGATGCTAGCCGAGAACATAAAAGCAAGGCCAGCAAGCCTGCATTTAACAAGAGTGAGGTAAATAGTACTTGTCACACGGTTAACAAGAAAAATTCATGGTATCAGAATCTTGAGCTTACACTGAAGCAGACAATCCGTGTCAAATGATCAGCCAAGGCAGCATGAACAGAGGAGGAAAACAATACAAGAATTAGACCAGATAACACAAATAATAGAAAAGAAAGAAACCAGACAGGTAACTATAGTATAGCAGATTGGAGCTTGTGCATGATATACAAATGTTCCTAATTGAGAATTTGAATACTTATGTAATAATGCACTGAAAAGTAATAAACTTTCAACAGAGTCATTGGACATGAGTTATCACTCTTTCCAACACAAATAAAGGATTATCCAGGAATCTGAACATAAACAACTGCAGAGCTGTCTATGCCCTTAGTTATCAATCAAGGTTCACATGCAAATTAAACATGGATTTTGCTGGCTCTGGTTGACAGACAATACAGCATTTTCAGATTTTCCCTCTCAAAATATCATGTTCAATTACAGATAATTTGGTGATATTATCCTCCTCCTTGACATTTATTGCAAATTTAAGCTCTTGTTTGTGCCTTGCTTACTGTTCTGACAGAGCACAAGATACTAGTGGCAGAGACCATAACCAGTTGGGCCATGTTAAAACTCACAGCCACCTGGGCCAATATTGAGATAAATTAGCCATTAGAGTTATTTATCACATTAGATAATTTTACTATAGTTCCACTTATTCTTTAGGGTGCCCATTGCTGTGGAAGTCCTATTTTAGTTGCAAGTCCAAAGCTGCCTAGAACATACTTTTCCACTGTCTGTCCAAAATTTCCCCATGCAATAACATCATTTTGCTTGGTTCCGCTTCATTGTCCAACCATTCAATGTATAGACTGTCAAGGCCCTAAATATTGTCTACAAGGTAAACTTATTAGTTTTTGTAACTAAGTCAACCAAAGATATCTTTGTAACATCTATCAATCTTATGGTTGGTTAGGAGGGAATAATTTCTTTCTGTAATCAGCTTACATAAAGCCATTGCAGTTGCACACAAAGCTTGTAAGCACCCATATCTTTGTCCACCAATGTCAACAATGATAACATTCACAATTCACAATTCAGAAGAATCCATCACCAGAAAACAATGATAACATTCAAGGAGTTCATCTTAAACTATTTCACTAATTCAATTTAAGTAGAGCACATTAAGGAGTTTTCTCCTTTAGTGTGAAAGCCTCGCCCATGACAACAAACAAAAACATGAAAAAGGTCGAAGTAAGACAAATCAACATAACAAGTGATGATGTCCATTAGATCATCAACCTTTGAGAATAAGATACCCAAAATAAGATTGGAAAATCACGGAATATGCTGACAAGAATTCCCAATCAAAGTCCCAAACATGATTGAACTCAGAAGCAGCTCAGAATCCTAGATTTCCACTGCAACTATGAAAGAATTTCGGTAATCAGAATCCATATTTGACCAAAATAATCAAGAACGTATCGGATTATGGCGGTTGAAGTTTCACCAACAAAGAAGGGAGGGAAAAAGAGGCAATTTTACGGGATTAATGTGGAGCGATTATACATATAACCAACGAAATACACATTAATCCCAAGATCAGCACAAAAGGAAACCAAGCAACAGAAAGGCGCTCCAAAATCCAATCTTTCGACCTCACAATACCCCTACCGATCCCTAAGATCACCATAAAAGAGAAACCCTAATCGTTCCAATGACAATCGATTCCAGTCCATAAATTCTAGAACAAAGCATACAAACGGATCAAACTACGAAACCCTGGAATTTTTGCAACGACGTGGAGGAGGAGGAGGAGAGATCGAATCAATTACCTTCGACGGTCATCGCCATCTTTTCTCTCCACCGAAGGGCCGAAGCTAAGGCGAATGATCGAAATAAAGCGCAGCAGGGTTGGGTTTGGGTCGGAGACGTGTGCGACCGCAAGTACCTCTCTGTATGCCACCGTATACATATACATATCTATACATGTATATATATATATTAATTTCCTCAATTATTCCCCTAAATTCATAGACTATTACAAATATATATATATATATATATATATATATATATATATATATATATATATATAAACTTGTACAAAAATCGAGATCGAAGGTTTTTGACGTGATCTCTCTAGTCAATCTCAAAACGGAAAGTGAGAATTTTAAGTAAATAGTAATTGACCTTAATTACTATGGTATAATATTTTTTATAATTAATTTAATTAAAATTTTATAATATAGGTAAAATATTTCTTTGATATTTTATATTGAGCCTAGATTGTAAAATATTTTACAATCTACGATCTTATCTTTTTCATCCTAATTACTAATTTTTCTGTTATATGTCGAATCATAATTGGATGAATGATAGAAAAAATTTGATGTTACTCAAAATATATATATATATATATATATATATATATATATATACATATATATATATATATACATATATATATATAAATATTGATAGAGAGTCGTCTAAGATAAAATTAAAATATGTTTTAGCTGGAAGAGATATCAAAATTAATATTAACGATATTAGATTTTTGATCTCTATATTACTCTCAGATTGTCAGGACATTATTGTTTGTTGTTCTTAGTTATATGATTAGTCCTCTCCTTGTTGCTGAACATCCTCTTCTTTCTTTCCATCGACATGAAGAAACCAGCAGATGCTAGTATATCTTTCTGTAGATGGTGAAGGAATGAGCTTCTTCGTCATGCATCTTCTCACCATAGTCGTCGAATCACACCATAGTCATCTTCTCCAATATGGTTCTCGAACGAACTTAGACAGCTGAAATGGTGGTCATCAATCATCCTGAACACACATTGGATGAGCCAAGGGGACCCAGCAATTTAGCAGGGTGAGATATCCAAGCGCTAGGAGGGAGACAAACTATGGAGCACATCTTATCCATATATCCAGTTGCCATAATCCCATTCGCCACCCAGCTTTCGGTGAATCCACAGCATCCATGAGAAGTGATCCACATCACAGAAAAATGCACTTCTCTCCATATCTCCTTCTTCCTCGCCTCCACATGCACACACATCTTACTTCTTTAATAGCTGGGAAGGACCAAGTAACCTGCAACGAAGGCCACTCGCAGCCATGGCAGCGACCTCCTGTGTTGCAGGCTTGGGATCGCCTCTCTCCCTCGCACGCCCTTCGTCAAAGCCTTCCCTTGCCTCCGGTACAACCACTGCTCATGGCCTTTCGCTATCTTGGATAGATCTAACCATGGATTCAACAGGTTTCATCGGGACTCGGGGGGCCGCAAGGAACCCTCTGAAGCTGAAGCTCGCTTCGGGTGGAAGGTTCACCTGGTAAGGATCACACTATCCCCACCTTTGAGGACTGCAGATGGATGTTTACGTGTGATTTGTCCTTGTGCATGGCTGTGGGAGAAGCTTCGAGAGGAATTGGCTGCGCACCGACCTCAACGTGATCGGGTTCGGTTTGATCGGGTGGCTCGCGCCGTCGAGCATTCCGGCGATCGGTGGGAAGAGCTTGACGGGGCTCTTCTTCGAGAGCATCGGCACTGAGCTGGCTCACTGGCCGACAGGCCCAGCTCTCACATCGCAGTTCTGGTAAGAACTGGTTCCTTCCCGAGGACGACTAGGTTAGATTCATGGCTCATCTTCTTGCTCTGATCGAGTTGTTTGGGATGATGCTGCAGGCTGTGGATGGTAACATGGCACCTGGGGCTGTTCCTTTGCCTCACCTTCGGCCAGATTGGCTTCAAAGGCAGGACCGAGGACTACTTCCCATAGAAAGATCTTGTAGACTCGGTGGTGGTTCCTCTCTTTGTATATGAGACTTGTTTCTCTCTTCTTCCTCTCCTCCTCTTCTTCTTCTTCTTCTTCCTCAGTTATGCCATCTCTGATCTGTTGAGATGTAAGGAGATACAAATGGACTGAATGCATACCACAGATGAGAAGGGCATCAAATCTAAAACAGGTGTTGTGAGGTGTTATTTTCCACCAGTATGTGTGTATCTCTTGGCGTATGATAATTAGATTATTGGTTCCAAAATGCATCAGATTCTTCAAATATTAGATCTGGAAATGCCATATCAATGGATGTCCAAATAGAGATCAAAAGCCAAAATGAGCAGATTACATCTTTATTAAGATAAATTATTGTAGCAGCCACCCACAGGTTTTCTTCATAAGCTCATCAATCTGAAGAGTCAGATTAGTGCTTTTAAGCTTTGAGAGATGTGAGTGACAATTTATAGATTTGGCAATTTGGATTCCATATTTATGGATTCCAAATATTGCCTGATTTATAGATTAGGCAATATGAAATCCAAATATTTGGATTTGGATAGTTAGGCAATTTATAGATTTAAATAAAATTCGTGAGTATTTTATCCATTATAATCAATTTTTTATAAAAATAAATAATTTTTGAGATAATTAAAAAATATTCCTTTAGAAATTAATTAAAAACCTTTCTAAAAAATATATTTAAAGAAATTGTGGGTTTAAAATGAGGTATTGAGATAAGACAGTCTCTCTGCTTTCCAAAACATTCCGACGCCCGACTTCGCAACACACGATGGCGTCTTCTGCAGCGGCCATCGCCGCCGCCCTCTCCTCCTTCTCCCTTCGCCCCCCCTTCCCATCGCAGCAGCCTCCTCCTCCTCCTCCTCCTCAAACCCCTCCATTTCCCCCCGCTCCTCTCCTCCTCCGTCCCCCACCGAATCCTCCCCAACTTGGCCGGCCGACTTCGACACCTCCTTCTTCGACAACGTCAACCCCAACGCAGACATCGTCTTAAACGCCCCGGCTCCTCCGAAGGGATATGTCCCCCAGCCCGCCTTCGACGAGCTGCCCCATGAGTCCGAGGAGGAGGTCGCCGCCGCCCATGAGGAGATCTATGGCCCCGCGAACAGCGGTGAGTCCGTGCTCGGCAACGACGTCTACGTCATGGAAGCCAAAGTCAAGAAGGCCTGCGACCTCCTCGGCCGGAAGAAGCGGGACAGGCCCAATGACGGGTTCGAGGAGCGAGTCGTCCAGGTGAGAAGGGTCACCGAGGTCGTCGTCAAGGGAGGAAAGAATCTCCCCTTTCGGGTCATCGTGGTGGTCGGGGACAAGAAGATGCAGGTTGGCGTTGGGGTCGGGAAGGCCAAGGAGGTGGTCGATGCCATCGCCAAGTCCGCCGTGAACGACCTGAGAAACATTGTGTCGGTGCCCGTAACCAAGTACTTGACCTTCCCTCACAGGTGAATTACTACTGCAAAGTTAGAATTTTGATTCATGATTTCTTGTTACAATGTTTGCTTCAAATTGCTTGTTATGTTTATTTCAAAAGAAATTGTTTGTTGTTATAGTTGTTCTGTTTGGAGGAATCATAGAAGTTACATCTAAAGCCAACTCTTTATGTCAATATGGTGAAATCGCACTTGGTGTCAATGCCAAGATGTGTTCGATATTTGAGTGTTAGTATCATGTCTTTATGTTGTATCTGATGATTTTGGGACTGGAACGAAAGCAGTCTTGAGGAAAATAAAATGCGATGACTGATGCTTAGGTATCACGCCGCTAATGTCTTTAAAATGTTACAATACTTAAATCTCATAAATGTTACAAAAGCTATAGACATATCTCAATATGTCTCGTGAAAATGATTTTTTGCTTCTATTGCATATTTTTTATTATTCCATTTTGAATGACTTTTGCATGCTATAAATTTCGATAATGTTGGGCATGAGATAAATAATATGACTATTTGAAGTTTTGGGTTTTTTTGTCCATTCTATTTTATTTCTATTTCTTTCTAATCATTGATATTCTTATTCTTTCCCGGCAAAGTGTTTCTATATTCCAAGTTACTATGGTCCTAAAATAACTTCTTTGTTCACACTAGTTTAACATATTGCCAGAATCATATTGTAGTTTGGACCTCCTAATTAGTCCGTTTTGCTTTAGCACATTTGAGTGATGAGATTTCTTGCATCTCTTTTGGATAATGATTTAGCCATATAGTGAAATCAATTAAGATTCAAGCTCATGAGTTTTGATAAAAGTTATATGCTTTCATCAATAGCCTAGTAAAAACATAGGTGAATGTCATAAAGAAAGGGAACAATTAAGGATTTTCATTTGCGTGGACATTGTTCCAATGGTCTTGATTCACCAACATAGATCCAAAGGCATCCTCCCCAGACCAAGACTCGGCCTAAAAGGCTTACAAAAGCTAGGTATATCAGTCAAAATTGTCAGCCCTGATCCTTAATGGGCACCACAACACTTTGGTGGTACACTGTAGTTCTTGATGTCCATTCAGTACTTTTTATGACGCAACAGCCTCATTATTGTTATGTCCATCTAATGCTCCTGATAGGTTGATGATCAGACACCAGTTGATATGACAGTAGAGCTCAGGCTTACAAAAGCTAGGTCTAACAGTCAAAATTGTCAGCCCTGATCCTTAATGGGCACAACACTTTGGTGGTACACTGTAGTTCTTGATGTCCATTCAGTACTTTCTACGACGCAACAGCCTCATTATTGTTATGTCCATCTATGCTCCTGATAGGATGATGATCAGACACCAGTTGATATGACAGCAGAGCTCAATTTTACCCGGAATAGAAGGTTGCAGCATGATCTTTCTTAATTAGATGAAGCCTTCAAATTGAGTCTAAAGCTGATAAGATGGGAACATAGTTTATGCCACTTGAGTGGCACTCCTCAAAAAAGGCTGGTCAACCCTTGTAAGAAGGGTTCCAGCCAAACCAGGAGAATTGACTGGGTGCTCACCCCTCCCCCACTCCCAGCAAGAGAAGCCGGCACACAACCCCTGCCTTAAAAGACGTGGTCAATAAAGATCAGTAAGTGTTGGCTAAGAGGATGAGGTAGTGGCTATTAGTCCCACTTCACTTGGGAACATGCGTGAGTTAGAAAGATAGTTCGTAATGAAATCATTTTGTTATCCTATGAGGCATCACAACTTGATCACACTTCTAGTTATCAATATTCTCTTTTTTTATAATTCTTCTCTCTCTCTCTCTCTCTCTTCTATCCAAAGAAGAAGGTGCTTGATATGTGGTGTTATATGCTGTCATTATGTCTTACCATCATCATGCACATTAACAACTTCTGTCCTACATGGCTTGGGTAGCAAAAAAACAATATACAAGAATTTCAAGCAGCCAGTAACTAACTGTTGGAGTTGAGACCCGACAAGCATGAATACGATGAATTCCTATTTTGTTTCATCAGTGTAGCTACCATAAAAGAACTTGATGTGAAACCCAAAATGTGAGATGCCCCAATCCTAACTTAACATTGCATTCTCTGCTGGCAAAACTGATACTACTTTTATCTGTATATCTTCACTAATTAGACATCATATGATAGATGGATTTTTTTATCAGATTTTATTTTTTATCATTTGGAGTTGGCACATTATGGCTCATTGTTATTGTTGTCGTCATATTTTTTTATCATTTGCATTTATTTTTGCTTTAACTAATAGCGGGAATCATCCGTCTGGGGTGTTGTGCCCATGCTTCCATTGTGATAAGTTATTAATAGCTTTTCTTTACTATTTTCCACTTCAGAAGTTGATAAAGTAGTATAGATGCTATGGATGAACATCTTCGAACTTTTCATTCAGTTAGAATATAATAACAACAACAACAAAATCGTAAGTCTCAACTATTTGACGTTGACTACATGGATCTTTTGTTGCCTGAGATATGTAAAATGTCATGTTTAGTTAAGCTCATAGTACTTAAATATTTATTTATTATTTCTATTAAAATCTTTTTAGGTCTTCCTCTATCACTTATCGTACTACTAACATTAATTATCACTTCTTTTGACTATTGCATCCGGAGATCTTCTCATCACATGCCTATACCATCTTAAATGATTTTCACTTATTTTATCCTTTATCGAAACGATACCTAGCTGTTCATAAATAAAAGCATTTCTTTTCTTATCTTTCTTAGTAACTCCACACATCCATCTCAACATTATCATCTCGACAACACAAGTTTTTTGTATATATTTTTTCTTAACTACTCCGTACTCAATTAGAATAATCTTATAAAATTAAATCTTCAATGTTGTGTAACTATGTGTTTTGCTTTTGTAGCAAGTGAATGCATTTTGTTTTTCTAATTATTTAATGTAGATAATTATCTGACACATAGGATGCATTTGGTGTTTCTAAATATTTTTATTTGTGAACAACTAGGTATTGTTTCGATAAAGAATAAAAATAGATAAAATCATTTAAGATGGTATGGGCATGTGCATAGGACATATCCGAATGCAGTAGTATGAAATAATTAATGTTAAAGGTACAAGAAGAGGTAGAGGAAGACCTAAAAAATTTTAATAGAAACTATAAATAAAGATTTAAGTACTCTGAACTTAACTGAACATACAGTTTTTTACATATTTCAATGACGACAAAAGATCCATGTAGCCAATCTCAAATAGTTGGGACTTACGGTTTTGTTGTTGCTATTGTTGAATTATCTAACATATAGAACATATATTATGCATGGTAATTGTTTATTTATTGCATTTGAACCTGTGGATGATATTGGTGAATATGCAAACTTTCTTGACAATCTTGGTACTTTTGATGTGAAAAGAGTTGCAAAATGAACTATTCTTCAATTTCCATACGAGGGCACTGCAATTTGCATCAAACATCTCTTGATACAGGATCCTCAATTTTCATTACAGGATCCAAGTGTTGTCTACTCGATGCAGTTATGCAGGAACACAGGCTATCTGTAACATTCTCAAGAGCCTTTCTGGGTTTGTAATTAGCTGAGAATAACTTTGAAATGGAAGTTTGGATTATTTCCTACATAGCATTTTATGCGTGATAGATCCATGTAAGTCATGTAAAGGAGGTTAAATTTGAAATTATTGAGCTGCATATACCTGGATGATGGTGCTGATAATATGACATTAAAATGCAGCAAAGACTAGACTATGTAAATGGTATGTATAGTGCAAAATGAAAACCCTTGGAGCTCTGTGGTAACAAAACAACAGCAGATGTCAAATATGTAGCACCCTTTGTTACTCCATGAAGGAGATGATAATTTTCTTGGCATACCTGGATTTGATATCCTTGTTGCCTAAAGAACATATCTGTTGAATGCTGATGTCCACCAAACTGTGTTTTGTGATTTCTTTTGGTCTTCCACATTGAATTTAATTTGGTTTGTATGATACCATAAGAATCTGTTTGTTGAATATGAATGTCTAGCAAATTGTGATTTATGGTTTTTGTTTTTGACAAGGAAAAACTGTAACTAACTAATATTCTTAATTTTATTCACCATCATTATCAGGAGATCAAATCTAACAATTACTAACACCTATATAGTAACTAATATGACCAGATTATTGATGAACAGGAGAAATTATTGAAAACTAATTCCACAACCACAAGTCATAAAACTAAAAGATAATTATATGGTAGTTACTTAGCTAAAGCTTTTGGATTATGATGACATCCAAATATCTTTTGCTTTTGTTTGAATCCATATCTAATGCTTTTAAAAGCTGCCTAGGATGAACCCATTTAGTTAATGCCATGTTTAGCCCTCTCAGTGACTCCCTCAAATTTCCTTGTATTTGCATGCATGTTTACAAGTTGTCATGAGGTGTGTTGCCTTCATGGGGGAAAAGATGACCTTCTTCCATTAATTCAAGGCAAAGCCAAACAGATCTGGACTCATGATGAACTTTTTCAATGCTTTGCATCTTGGAACCATGCAACAATGCAATCCACTCAATTAATGCCTCATCAAAGTTCATCAAGAAAAAGAAAGATTGAGGCCAATCAATGCCTTGGAAGTTTTCCCTTCCCCTCACATTAATATCTTTGGCTCACTACCCCTTGATGAGCCATCTACAACCAATGACATTCACATTCTATATGTCCTTCCACCACTACTCCTTCTCTACCCCCAAATTAAGTTACACCTCCAATTAATGCCTTGCATGTTTTTTATTCCCTTCCACCATTAATCCTCTAATTAATTTCCTTAAGTCTTGTGGAGACATAATGGATAGCACATGGTGGGATTTCCCAATATCACCAACTACATAAATACCCACTATTTTACCATTTCCATCATCAACTCAACAAGTGCTTGAGTAATGAGGATGACTTGGGGGGTCATCTTTAATTTCTGTCCTAAGTTGATGAATCATGATGGGTGACATTAAAAAAGTTTGGCCTCATAATGGTTGTGCTAACCTTAATTTTCCTTTTTTTGTTTTGTTTTTTGTTTTGTTTGGGGACTAAGTACTAATGCCTCATTTAAATGACTAATTCACCCCCATTCACTTATCATAATTAATTGATCACATGGAATGAGACATGTAAACATTTTCAAACTCTATAAATCTTGGAATTGATTGGAATATGAATCAAAACAAATGTCATGACATATTATTTTTTTATTCATTATTTGAGAAATCTCTCCATGTGAAGGACTTTTTTTTTTATTTTAATCTCCTACATGATCTTTGACTTTTGATATATAGCTCATAGGCCTATCTATGCAAATGAACAAGGTCAACCTTTGTGTCCTAGTTGCACTTGGTAATTCAACTCATGGCTTTATTTGTGATACCAAGAGAGAGAGAGAGAGAGAGAGAGAGAGAGAGAGACTTGGCTTTGCATGCACCAAAGTCCACACAGAGTGACATTAATGAGTGCTCAGAGAGACAGAGAGAGATTGACTTGGCTTTGCATGCACCAAAGTCCACACAAAGTGACACTAATGAATGCTCGTCACTTCATCGATAAGAGAGGACAAATCGAGCAAAGCTGCACGACTTTTAGCGCTACATTAAATTGGAAGCAAAGACCCATTTGTTGGTGTGCATAGCTCATTGATTGATCGAGTGATGCATGCTCTACACAACAAAGAAGACCACATCCCACGCTCACAAACACAGAGAAAGAGAGAGAGAGAGAGAGAGAGAGAGAGAGAGAGAGGGTTTCTTGTTATGATTGCGTGACTCGAAGGTAAGTCTTCTCTTTTCCTTTCCTTTTCGTGAGAAAAATGCATGAGTCAACTCTGCACGTTGTTGTTGCATGAAGAAGGAAGGAGGGAAGGAAGGAAGAATGGAGGTAGAAGAAATGGAGTACCTGTAGCTTTGTATTTAATAGAAGCCATTGACGCCTTCCATTTCCCTCTATATTAAGGCTGGCGTTCTTCTTGGATGTGGAGCATTTCCGCTTGGTTGTGGATTCAGAGGGAGGAGGAAGGATGAGCTGCAGCCGGAGAAGCGAGAAGGTGGACCTGAAGCTGAACCTCTCGCTGCTGCCGACCGCCAGCGGCCGCGACGAGGCCTCTCCTCAGGGGTACGCTTCGTCCTCATCGTTGTCGTCCCCGAGCTCGTGCTTGTCCTCGGAGGCTGAGCTGGGGCTGACGTCCCCGGTCAGCCCCACGGCGGCGCCGTCCATGGTGCTCGCCGGCTGCCCGCGCTGCCTCATGTACGTCATGCTCTCCGCCGCCGACCTCAGGTGCCCCAAGTGCGGCAGCACCGTCCTCCTCGACTTCTACGGCGGCAGCGGCGCCGCGGTCACCACCACCACTGCCACTGCCACTGCCACCAAGAACAAGAAGAAGGCCAGGATGAGCTAAGATTGTTAGCATGTCTCTTCAATGTAAATGGGACACCTTTGTGTTTGCTTCTGCAAGAGTCAAAAAGGTTTTCCACAACAGCAAGTCTCTATCTCTGTGTTTGGTCTTAATACTGTGATGCAGGATTCATGAAACGAGCACTTCTCTTCATATTAGTGCTCGGATTAGATTTGTAGAAATAGCTGAAAGGAGAAATGATGCATTCAAGAAATCCTTACAATAATATAATTCATGGATGCAATGAAAAAAGACATATTTCTGAAGCTATATAAAGAGAGATTTATGTATAACACAGATTGTTGTGTAAAATGAGATGCAGTCTGGAAGATTAGGGACACTGAAAACTTAATGGAAATCAATCAAAAAAGAGAATTTAATGTGCTAGCAATGGACAGACAGAGTTGAGAATATTATTTGTGTAGATAAGATAATAAATACAATCCATTTGCACCCCTCACCTTTCTCTCTTCTTCTTCTTACACTCCACTTTGGATATATACAAAGCAACATTATTGATTGCATGTTGTTGGTGTTCCACAGTTGAACAACAGCTCAGCTTTTCTTCCTTCTTCACCTCTCTGTATAAATCCAAAAAAACAATCTAGTTTTGACTTTTGAGTGCAAAATAACCCACAGCCATGGATATCCTTCCTTTCAGGCAGTGCCTAATTTTTCTTTTTGCTATCCTCCCCACAAGTAGTCTTTAAAATTTTCTTTTCTATTTTTGTCATTGTAAACTACAAATAGAATAACAGAAAACACAAGGAAGATACATTTTCACCATCTATATACTCTCAGATTTTCTTGACAATTTTCCCTAAATAAATCCTCTTTTGATCCAAAGGGCATCTTTGTCACCCACCAACCCATATTTCTGCAAACTGCCCCACTTACCAAGACTTTGGTTGGACCATAAGTAGATACTTTTGACATAACAAAACAAGTGATGCAGATCAAAGAGTTCTAGTCAAAGAACATAAGTGGTATATACAGGATATTTTTCAAGGAAGAACATGAGCAAAATTATAGCACAGCTGTCGAATGTAACATACACAATGTAGTTTTCAGAGAAGACAAGAGACAAGTGAAGTCACAACCACCTTTGAATATTTGTTATATAGGCATTCATTTCACTGGAAAATATAGCACCACATCAAGATAGGAAAAGAAAAGGAACTTCTATGTGCACCACAAATCAACATAAGATTAGCTGATAAACCAAGAGAGAGCCACATAGCCAACCATGCAGATGACTACACACACCAACTAAGAAGTCCCTTGTAGGAAACGTATCTGTTTTATCTGGCTAGTGATGTGTTAGTTGAAAGAGAGAAATCAGAGACTTCAACTCTCCCCCTAAGAATGCATGTCCCTAACCAGCAGTTGTACAAACTACAAAGTGCCATGTCGCCAATAACTTGCAATTTTGATTTCATCCTTCTATATAGTGAAGGTCAAACTCCTGATTTCATCCACAGGAATTTGATATGGATGATGCCAGAGGCACCACATGAATCGCACACACATCAGCATAAGCACATCAATGCATCACATTATGCCAAATAATTGAAAGAAGAGGTACCAATTCATTATTCATCCATTTGGAGCATTTAAAGTTTGAGGTCAGTGCAAAAATAACAGAAATGAAAACCAATGGTAACATAGATGTAAATTATAGAAAAAGTTCTCTTTGGTCATAACATTAAATCCAAGTTGCCAGGATGACAAATTAATGGTTGATGTGACATGACAGTGGAGAATCACAGCAAAAAAACAAAAAAGAAGCATGAAAGCAGGCTTAGTAACAGGTACAAGAGTTGATACCAGAGACATTAAAACAGATAAAGAAATTCGTAATAACTCATCATATCAAAAAGCTTCTGATCATTTAATTTCACTTGTCCTTCTCTCAAAATGAATTTATTCTACTTCCCTAATCAAGAAACACCTGAACTTTTATATATATAACAGAACAGATGTATATCTAACAAGTGCATATATTTGAGAAATGATATTGCATCTATAAATCCTTTTCCTCTTCATTCAGATCGAGAATTTTAATACTTTCAAGAGTGACCAAGGAAAGTTGGTTCAATCTCTCTTAAGAGTCATTCTCAATTGATCCCGTCACTTATGAAGAATGCTCATGCTTCTTCCCTGAAAATAGGCATGTTTACTATGGATTGTCCTATTTAATATTATCCATCTAGAAGGGGTTAGGCAAATTCACCATTTACCTTGGCAACACACTCAAATTAGGACAAGGAACTAACTGGTCATAGGAGGCACAAGCGCAACTGGACTATGAGCTAGTTTCATGCAGTTAGGGAGAAAAGAAAAAAGGACTAGATCATCAAGATTTAAATATATATCTGGTTCAGGCTGCTCAAAATCTTACGAAAGGAAACAAAATGGATGGAAAATCTGCCTTGCAAAAACTGCAGTTCACAAGTCTTATAGGCAATGTCATCCAAATGGCTGCCACGCTGATCTCCAAAATATGAAGTTTCAAAAAGGCTTCTCATCCGGTATAGGAACTTACATTCTTAATTGAATTAGATCACAATATATTCTTTTACCTGATAATAGATGAGGATTGCAGACTCGATGAAATTTGATCTACAGGCATCACAAATCTCCTCGTTCTGTTTCTCTTCACCAATGGTTCCCTTTCTCAACCGCCTATAGGAGATGGCTGCCCACTGGAAAATATCATCAAAGCAGTATCTACTATTAAGCGTGTTTGGCCCTCCTAGAGTTCTTCCAGCTCAAAAAATCTCAAAGCCAAGAACTTTAGCTGATTACTTTTAAGAACTGATTGCCTTCCCTTTGTAGCTGCCAGTTGAACTACAAACGGAGGGTTCCATGCTGGTCATTATTCCTTCTTGAGTGCTATTTTTGCAGCAACATATTCCAGCTTATTTTGTGGGTCAATGATCCAGCACCTATACTTGCATTTGGCCTTACTTTTCCAATTAAACTTGTTACTTCTCCCTGTGGGTTCCTGCTCTAGGAAGATAAATGCTATTGCAAGCTCACAATTATAGGATATTTCCTGGGTTTTTCTAGAGGTTCCTGTCAGAACCATCATTATAGTTCTCTCCGCACATGAAAACCCCACTTTCCCTGGATCCATACAAGCTATCATCTAGATGTTCTGATTCCAATTCCCCTTCCAACATAACGATGATAAGATTCAGGATGGTCAAATTCATTCCATCCTTTATTCTATAATCATACATCAGCTTGATCAACAGTCAAGACCATTTACATCACACTCATTTAACAGTCAAGCATAAAAAAGACACACAGGTGGCCTCTGTCCATGAACATCTTTTCCTTTTGAACACATGATTCCTAATACAACTCCTCTTCCATTTCTACGCATTATCTTCCTCAACTTCAGCGATATCTTCGATTTTTCTTTTGGGTCCATGGAAACTGCTTCTGCTAAGCACTACTATGGTTAATTCATCTTCCATACAACAGAAAGCAACTTATATGAATCACAATACCATATTCCAAGGAGAAACGAGAATGGTATATATAGAATTGGAGTAACAAGACGTGATAAAAGCTAAACTTTCTTCTTTCCAGATTCCTTTCTTGCAACAAAAAAATCAAAAACAAGCTTCAAGATATCTCCGCGAGAGGGACATATCCCCAAAAGAACCCTTTTTTATTCCATCTTCATGCATCTTTCCAAGAGTTCCGACCCACGAAAACCCTAGTTCTTGTCATCAAAGGAACTATCTTTTGCACCCCCACTTCCTCGACGAAAGATTGACGTCCCTCTTCTTCAAAGAAAGCAAAATCGATGTGAAGTGGTAATACCTAGTAGACCAAAGGTAAATTTTTTTCGAGCAAAGCACTAATCAGACCAAATCGGCGACGTCGGCGGCGGATGGAAGGAAGGGCGCAGCGCAATCATTCCTTGGAGGCCTTCGCACGGCGGTGAGCGAGTGGCCGAGTCGAAGGCTCGGAGCTCAGACAACCTCGGCTCGGAAAGCAAAGCATTATAACGAACGTTATGATCGTTACTCGTTATATCGGCCGTTATGTTCCAAAAATTAGTGTTACAATTGTTGAGGTCGGAGAAATGATGCCATGTAGAATAAATTGGAGCAAAATATTTCTCGTCCATTATTAATTCTCCCTATCTTAATATGATATGGAGCTGAAATGATTACATATTATGACCATTATCACAAGTCATTGGCCATGATTTAGATGGGGAAACCTACTATATATATATATATATATCCTTCAGCCTTACCAAACACAGAGTTGTTTAATTCACCAAAGAACATAACACACTTGATAATATGATCAAGTGGATGAATAATCTATTCAGAAAACAAAGGCAAAGGCTTGTCTCATCTTCCATACAAAGCATGATGTTGATGAACAGAGAAAATCTTTGTTGAGCTCTCAAAAAATGCTGAAATGAACTGTTTCCTTGGTAGTCCACTCAGATGAAGATGTTGAGAAGTTTTCAGATACAATAATGCATTAGTTGTGTGCTTGTTAGATGATTGATTACAAGGAGAAGAAGAAGAAGAAGTCAGCTCATGCTGCATTGAGTCTGATAATGGCGCTTGGCATCACCAGCAAATGCATCAAGCTCAGCTTGCAGAATAAGTTCTTCCTGAATCAGGCAATGACCGTTCTACCTCAGACAAAAATGTCTACTCCAAAAAGAAGTGTCATGCCATGGAAGAGTAGAATCTCATCTGACTTTAACATTACCTGAACTCAGTCTTGTGTGACAGAACATTGTGCCTACTTCTTCCAATTGTTTTACTGTTCTCTCACCTCTGCCCAAAAGAATGCATTCATTTCAATCAACCATACATGGATGGTCAACTGAGCATGTGGCAGAGGAAGCATGTTAAAGATGTCTTTAGGCTGCTGCAGGACACTCAACATATGTGTGTGTGATAGAGTTTCTTAGCTCACAAGAGAGTGGAATCCTGAAAAAAAAAAAACACACAGGTGGCCTCTCTGTCCATGAACATCTTTTCCTTTTGAACACATGATTCCTAATACAACTCCCTGTATCTCTACTGGAATTGAAAGCTTTTAAAGTAGAAGAGTTATTTGAGTTGTGTACTTGTCTCCCTCATGGGGTGTAGTTTTGTACTTTCTAGGAGTATCCAAGGCACATCCATGCTGCCAATGTCATCTCAATGTCATTCATTTGATGCATGTGATGCTCATGACCTTGAAACAAGCAAATCACATGCAGAAATGGAACTCTTGTCAGGAGATAATTAGGATTCAATTTTTTGTATTGTTGGTCCATAGATAACAGAGATTCCACCTACTGATATGTTAAATATGGCATTGTGCCACTGTTAGCCATAACAAAAAGGAATTTTCAATTGTAATAAAAACATGACCTGTAAAAAGCAAAAGGAATTAGTCTTGTTCTTCCACAAATATTCAGAACATAGAATCATCCATGAAGAAGATCACAAAATATAAGATTGTGTGTTGGAAGAATCTCACTATGTAGTTGAAGAAAAGACTTGAGGTTTTCTTTTCATGATCTCTGTTTCTCTTTTTCAGGTTACTTATCAAAGATGACTTCTTCTTCATATCTGAGTTGTCTGATCCATAGCTACAACAGGATGAGAAGTAGGATGTGACATATACCACCTTACAGTGGTTTAATGACCAGGCCATGAAGTAATTGAATATTCTAAAAGGAAATAAGTTGGAACAGGGCAAGAGACGGTGAAGCAATAAACACTTTTTCTCTCATCAATCCATCTACCTCTCATTAATGCATCAGAATCTGAGTGAACAGAAGCACTCCTTTGGCTTTCTCAATCTTCTTCTTCCTACCAACTTCATACACAAAAGAAAAAGAAAGTTAAATGCATTGTCTCACAACATATTCAACTTTTCCTGTTCAGACACAAATTGAAAGCCAGGCAAAAAATTTATGTGCCTTGAATGCTTACTCAGAAGAATGATTGCAAGAATCCTTGATCACAACATTCAAGCTATTACTCCATTTGTAAGATTTGGATTAGATGAAGACTGATCAATAGAACTTAAGCTATTGCTACATTTGTAGAGTTCACATTTGAGGAAGTGAAACAATGACTGCCCCTTCAAGACCTTCTTTGTATGTGATTAAATCCAAACCTCATGCACTTGTTTTGTAGGAATATGTTCCTAAGATTGAAAATAATGTGATTGGTGAAAAATAAGCATGCAAAAGAGGACAAGATTGTACAGAATCTGAACTGAACATGATTGGATGAAATAAAATAAGTTGGCATCATTGATGTTCTTACCAAACATTTGGACTTGTAGACACAGCTCAAACCGATGCATGAAATAGATAATCGATAACCATTGCAACAGCTTCTTCTTTATCATTTGCCAGTAGTACTCGATGATGTATTCAGTCCAAATGAAGTCCCCAACACCACAGTTAATGCTCACACGAGCAGCATCCCCACCACCCCTCCTGCCTCTCTCTCTCACTCTCTCTCTCTCTCTCTCTCTCACCCACCCCTTCTGTTTTAAAGGCAAATAAACTCAAGTTTTCTACTCCTTCACACCCTCCATTAATGCATGCCACAGCAAAACCAACTTCTCCTCCTCCTCCTCCTCCTCCTCCTCCTTACTGTCTCTGAGAGAACCAGATGGGCAGGAAGCTAGGCTTGAGCTCTCTCTTGTTCAAGCTCAGGGACACACCGAAGCCTTCTTGCTACCCGTCTTCTTCTCCTTCTTCTTCTTCTTGGTCGTGGCCCTCATGTAAGCAACCGAAGACCAGCTCCTTCCGGGACGTCGACGGCGACGCCATCTACAAGACCGTCAACTCGGTGTACTTCGACTCCAACGAGTCATGCTTCTCCCGTTCATCGGAAGAGCATGAGAGCTTCTCCACGGTGTCGGAGGACTCGGGCGGTGGCTCGCTGGAGACGGTCGTGCGCGGGGTGCGGTCGGACCGGCTCTTCTTCGACCCCGGCGGGGCGAGCTCGATACTGGAGGAGGCGAGGGCCAGCGAGCCGCCGTTCGAGGGCAGCGTCGCGTTAGCCGTGGAGTCGGACGACCCCCACCGCGACTTCCGGCGGTCGATGGAGGAGATGGTGACGGCGCACGGGCTGAGGGACTGGGAGCGACTCGAGGAGCTGCTGGGTTGGTATCTGCGGGTCAACGGGAAGACGACCCATGGGTTCATAGTTGGAGCCTTTGTGGATTTGCTTGTAGGCCTCGCTTCTTCTTCTTCTTCTTCTCCTCCACCTCCTCCTCCTCCTCCTCCATCTTCTGCATCATCTTCCAACTCCTTTAAGATCGAGGAACTCAAAGAGGAGGACGCCAGTGGATCAAGTTAGCTTCCTTTAATCCAACAAAAACATATATATATATATATATATATATATATATATATATATATATATATATATATATATATATATATATATATATATATATAAAATTTATTTGAAGAGTCGTTAGACGAGCACCTTGTGTTCATGGCTTCCAACCTCGTTCTCTGATGGAAGAAGCCAGCGGTGCGTTGTCTCCTTGTAGAGTCTGCCGGAAGGGCCATCACAGTGGTTCTCTCAATCATAGACATCGGCATGTCACCAGATGCTTCTATCAGAGCAGGACAAGTGCTGCCATGGATTAAATGAACAACACTGCTGCTGCAGCAGATCATGACAACTGCTTGCACTGCTTCTGGTTGATGATTCCCATCAGGTTATGGCCAGCGGGGACAGATGTGAAAGTTATTGGGCTAACGTCCTTCTCCAGTAGGAGTTCGGGAGAACTGTAGATGTTGGATGGATAGACGATATCAGTTGTACATTTAACATGTCCTCCGAAGAGAAAAAGGAGTGCACAGTGGGTAGTGATTGCCCCCTTTCTCGAGGAAGGTCGCTTACCATTGCTTGTAAGTTTTCATTTCATGGTGGTAGACTTCTTGCAGGGTCGAACAAGTTGTTTCCCTGATTCAACATCATACCGAAATCTTGAAACGAAAATAGCTGTCAGACAACTGGATTCTGTACCGAGCATACCTCTTGTTGTTGGATGCATGCAGCACGATTACCAGCTCATCCTAGAAAGCCAGCAGTCAGATGTTCATTTCAGTGCCAATAAAATTTCTATTATTCTCTTATCCTATAATAACAAAGTCAATTATTCTATATGAATATTTTGCCACCATTAAGATAATTATTCTGTTATACCATACATACATGGAAATATATGTCACAAAAAGATTAATTAAGATGAACTATCCAATTCTGTCAGAACAAGTTATCACAATTCAACTATACCAAGAGTTCTACAAATATCTAAAAATAAAAAGAGGAGGAATAATTGCAGTTAAATAGCATGTGAATGTCCAGAAAAAAACCTTTTCTTAAATAGTAAAAAAAATCTTTTTTTAATGACTAAAAAAAGGAGAATTATCTGAGTTCAGAAAGCAGGACAAACTAAGGTGACAGTTGCTCTTGCATTATTGCAGCTGCCTCAAAACTTTTGCCTGGTGCAAGCGACTTGACAAAGCTTTGCACATGGAGCCTCTGTTAAACTTTTGAGTGCATGAATCTCCATGACTACTTTAACTCGGAGAGAAGGACGAGCAGGCCAATATAAATTGCATTCTTGTCTGTGGTTTCAACTGCGAAGCTTCTAAACCCATGCAAAACAAGCCGTTGTTTCCTGTGCAATTAATGCTTCTTGGTCTGACTACCTTTTCAACATATGACAACACTGCTCAAGAAACCTTACTATATTCCACATCTCAGCTCGACAAGATGCAACATTGTTTTGATCACCTTGGAGATCACACGACCATCTGATGATGTACCACTTGTTGCATTGTTCACATGGCGGTGGATGCCTCCTGTGGGTTCTTGATAGACATGGGCATTGCATCTTGATTAAAGTAAGGTGCCCATTATGACTGCTCTAGAGACCCAAGAAGTATGTTGATCTCCTCCCGTATTTTGCAACAGGTTGGAACTGCAGACGTGTGTTGTGAGAGCCAAAAAATTGATGTGAATGTTGATCACGAGAATTGGCCCTGCAAAAGACATTGAAGGGAATGGCTTTTGATGAAGACTGGAATTTTGGGAAATCACTGTGACCGAAAGCAGCTTCCTACCCCCCCACCTTGTCACAAGAGATATCCATGCTCGACAGCAGAGAATCCAACAAGTGTTGGGCTGCACAATGCAGCAATATCAGGGCCAGTTCTTGATATTTTAGGTTGCAGTGTGGATAGTTTGAGATCGAGTTTACCTGAAGAAACATGAAAGAGCATGTCTTCTCCTTCACCAGCCCTTGCAGGATAGAGAACAGCTTCGATGAATCTGATCGCGAGGAGATAAATAGCACTGTGGCTTTGAAATCTTGATTCAGCAGGCCAGTGTTCAAATTTGAAGTCTTTATTCAACAAGTAATCACAGTGGCGCAAAATGCCAAACAGGAAATAATAATTCATACAGGAACATTAAATAGAAAATAAATGCCATAGCCAACCTGCAAATACTGAAACAGTCAAAAGCCAGTACTTGAAACCACTGCAGGATCAGAGGTTTAGGAATTATAACATGGGTGGTAGGTTCCCCTAGGTAAGTATGCCCAGAGGTGCAATGTTGCATTTATTGCAGATAAGAGAGGACCATTGACCATGACCAGTCAAATAAATTGGCTCATTGCATGCAGATACTAGCCTGAACATGTCACAGACTTCAACAACTCCATTTAACAAAAGATCTGTATCTTCAGTTTCCATCGACCCAAATTTGTCTATATTCCAGCAATAATTTTTTTCTGAATAAATATTTAGATAGGCATACATAAAGAGTTCACTCTACAGCAATTTGCTGGAATGAATGATGCTAGAATCAAGGCATAGGCGGGCTTGCCCTGGTGGAAGGGGAAGAAACGCAGCCCACAGCTTGATAGAGCATCAATTTGCTGGCATTTCTTCAGCACCATTAGTGATAAATCTTACACAAAGAACAATGAAATTACCTTTCATTGTCTCGTTTCACTTTGCAATTTGATTCTTGATCAAGGTTGCTACATGGTGGCCGGCCCACGAGGAGCCAGCTTCAGTGCAGCAGAAAGCATGCATGTGGCCCTCTCTTTCGATTGATAAGGAAAGACCTGGCACCATCCGGGAAACCTGCAATCATCCAGACAATAACTTCAATTCTATTCAAATAAATAGCAAATAGAATGTATGCAGATAGCAAATAAATAGCAAATAGCAAATACAATAACATCCTTGTGGTTAGTGCACTTTTGCATAAGTGACGGGTTTCTGGTTCGAGTCCATAATTGAATATTTTGTACAATGTTTAATGTGATGAAAATTTCTAATTATTTTTTAAAATTATATAGAAAATTTAGTATCAAATAAAATAGATATCAATTACGATACAAGTCAGTGCACGTATCCACTGTGCCGAATTCTTTTTCACATAAATACAATTGAACTTCAAGCATCCTCTGTTTGTCTAATTTTGCCAGCAAAATATTGAATACAAAGCAACCTTGATTTGTCAGCAGACATTGAATACGATGTAACCTCGATAAAGCATAAATATATCCGACAATAGTTTCTATTGCCAATTCCAAAAACAGTATAAAGAAATTCAGGTACCCAATTTGATAAGTCTATCTAATAAACTGAAAAGTGAAGTATATATTCACCTTTTCAAAAAGTGAAAGTGGGCCCCAGTGGTCATCAATGCCAAAAAGAAGAGAGATTTGGTTATGTTTCTTTTTCACAAACATCCAGTCTGGCTCTTCTGACAACTGAAATAATAAAATAAGTAATGAGAAGAGAACTTTAACATCCTATGTTATGTACCTACAACAGAAAAACCTCTACATCAACTGGGAGAGTACATGATCGGAGTCCGACCGGTCACATGTTTATGAGTCATGAGACTGAGACTGAAAAAGAAACCTGTTACTAAGACATTATTGAGACTTATGATTGGATGTCTTAATATTGTTTTATTATGTTACATATTTTATTATTTACTAATATTTATTCACAATATGTAATTCGTTTTTGTTATATGTTTTGATAGTATGTTTTGTTGGTTCCTACTTATGTTTCGAGAGTATGTTTTGGAGGTTTCTACTTAGCATTGATGATTTCAATTATTTTCGTTTTCCAGAATAATCTTTAGTTTCTAGTACTAATTCCAGCGTAAAGAGAGCCATCGTCTAACTACTAGATAGCGCTAGGTGGGAGACTTTAGCTCTTTATGGTTTAGTATTAGCCATTCAGTATCAGTTTCTCTATTGTCAAACTTTATTATTTAAGATACATTCGAAATTTAAATTAAATAAAATTAGTTATTTTATTATCTCATTTTAAAAGTACATATTTTTTTTTAAAAAAATTGAGCACAGATATGACAACGATAGACATGACAAAAGAATATAATACAATACAACCAACAATGGTTAGTCCTATCAATATAAAAAAGCACATAGGCATGCATTCTTTTTTGAGCAACATAATCGAACCACCATCATAGCAATAACAACAAAGTAGTAAGTCCCAATCATTTGGGATCCTCTACATGAATCTTTTACCACCATTAAGATCCGTAAAAAGTCATATGTTTAGTTAAATTTAAAGTATTTAAATCATTTATAGATTCTACTAAAATCTTTTTCTATATTATTTGAAGAAGAAAAAATCTGTTGATTATCTAATTCTTTCATAGTTATTGCAGATAATCTTCAAGAAAATTGTATCAAATAAATGGTACAAATAATTGAAGAAAGAAATATTTGCCAAAAGAACTAAGCATATACCAATCAAATTGTTAAATCAAATATACAACAAAGACCTGCAAAGAAGCAACGACAATCTTTCTCAGGATAAATGATCCAGTAAAAAAATCAGTTTAACAGTACCTTCTCAAACTCTGTCATTGCCATGAAAAGCATATTTCGCATCGTATGATACTGCAAATTTTAAAGCAAAATTAGTAATGCTATGGTTTAAGTGACAACTTAATGGTGTCTAGGTTCAAAGATTATAATCCAATATTTCTTTCTTCAATACGTTATGACAGCACTAATAAAGATGCTCCTCATTCAAGGTACAGTAAACACTTAAAAAAAGAACAACAATAAAAGACAAGTGCAGAGTGTCCTCTCTCAGACATTAACAAACTTTTTTTCTTACGAGTGAAATCTCACATCTAAATACAGGAAGAAGAACCAACCTGCAAAACGTGACTGCAAGTAGCATCAACAGCTGTAGAAGACCATGACTGCCCAAGGCACTTTCTCACCATAGCAACTTGAACCCGGGTTGGTAATGACCCCAAAAATGATACAAAATAACTAATGGTTGTACTTAC